CAAAGAAAAGAAAAGGAAAAGTTAATGTTTATGTGCTTGAGTGTTTCTGTGTGTGTGATTTGAGTTATTAGCCGACATTTATTTGAAGGACTTTGTGATTAGCTGTTGGAAAAAAAACAAAAAAAACCCCCAAAGATCAGAAATGTTATGAAACTAGTCTGTACTTACAATGCATTGATTTGTAAACGAAATGCAGGTCAAGACAATTTAGAATCAGCAGAAAAAGAAGTAGATTTTAACAGAAGACAAATCAGATTTAAATGAACAGTGTAACAATGTAACAGAGAGAACATTGTCAGAAAAAGTCTGTGAACTAGAGGATAGAGTTGAATTAAGAAATTATCTTTTTTGCCAGCTTAGAAATGAAGTAAAGCTAGTGTGTGTTAATACAAGAAAAATACAGGCACAGAATCTAATCCCAGAACCAATAGATACTGAAAATGTAACCTCACAGAGTGATTTGCAGAAATGTAAATTTCAAGACAGAGCTGCAAAACTTAATTTGAAAATCCATGAACAATTAATGAAAATTGTGAAATGTTTTCCAGTTTATGACACGTCAGTGGATGCATTTACTAATGCTGAAATGTTTGAGTCTAATTTAGACAAATACAGCCTAAATGACGAACAAAGGAATAGACTATTTAAAACATGGCTGCCGACTCAAATGGCATGTAGGCTGACCGCGCCTGTAAAATTCGAGGACAATTATGAAATAATATATGGAAATAAGCAAGACAGATTAACACAATTAATAAAATTAACAACAGGGAATGATTTTGCAGACACTGAAATGTTGGAAAAACTAAAACCACACATTGATGAGGATATATTTAGTTTTCTTGTAAAATTTGAAAGTGCATATAGACTTGTTGCTAATTTTCCTGAGAATCAGTTAATTAATGAATTTGTGAAAAAATTTCAAGATCTAGATCCAACTGCAATTGTGTTAGCTAGAGAAAAAAGCACTTTGACAGAAGTAGCTTTGTTCTTGGATAACTTAAGGAGGGAAACCAATAATGAAGGGGTTAAAACAACTTGTGGATTTAGGCAGAGAAAGAAGTGCAGATTTTACACACCTCCTTCTTCTTCTTTGTGGACTCAGTGTAAAAGAGTGATACAGACAGCTGAGCCCCTCCCAATTTGCTTAAATCAAATGGCAGAATATAACTCCTAAAGTTATTTGTTTTTGGTGCAATAAACAACATTATTTAAGATCTTGCAGATATTTTATCCGAGATATCAAATCAAAAGCAAATGAGAAATTAAATTTGTTGATTGAAAATTTTGACAGAGAAAATACATGTGGAGATAAATCAATAAAAGCCTTTCCTTGTAAACTGATAATCAGACAAATCAGAGCAATTTTAGCTAAATCGAAATTAGGAGACAGACAAGCAATGCAGTGTAACACAGAAAGTTATAAGAATCCGATAACTTCACGAGACATGATCAGTTTAGGGAATGAGCATGGATATGTGCGCCAACAGATGTACACAGGCTGATTCCAGAATTAAAAACAGCCAAGAATAGAGATCTATGTTAGTTTGTTTTAATGAATTGTTAGTCTGAACTGTTTTTTCATTGTTTTATGTGTTATAAGAAAGTATTAGGTAATTAATTAAAATAAAAATTTACAACAAGTTTGCAAATATGGCAGAATGAAATACACTAATGTAGCAGTGAGGAACATGCAATGTTATATTGGGTGTATGCGATTATACAGTAACTCCAATCATTTTACAGAAGAAAAAACAATGTTGTTGCTTCTGAGGTTGATTTAAAATCTTTGATTTAATTCATGAGAATGAGATTTTAATATCATGACTGATAATGGATTACTGTATATTGCAACGCCTGGACATACACATGGTTTGGATATACTGAAGACAAAAGGAATAATATATGGGAATGGATAAGGCTGATTTCCCCCTATCCACAGCCACGCCTACTCCTAAAGTAACATCACGTCCATCCTTACTGTGACGAAGTGCCCTTCGCCACTTGTGCCTGGAGAGGACTGCTTGCCCGCCTCTTGCCCTGTGACTATGGCCCCTGGTTTGTATTGCCCTTTAAAGACATGATTTGGGCATAATGGATTTGTGTTGTGCTGCTGCTGGCCCTTTAAGAACCATCTGGGGACATACTGTGGAGTTACTGGGTGGCCACCATTTCCTGTATCAGAAGCACATGGTGAGAACAATGGATGGCGGCCATTTTAACTCACAGACACTGTTTGGACTTTTCAACACGGTGCCATCTCGCCAGTATTTGGTGCACAGAGACATCGTGCAGTGGTTTTGGACTATACAGCAGGGGACACATTATAAAGTGATTGTTTTTCATTTAGCCTGTATATGTTCTGCAGAATCTGCATTAAACTGTATTTTCCAAAGTACTGAACGGATCTGGGTGAATTTTGGATATGTGGTTCACCCAGATCCCCCGGTTCCAAGGATATACTTTTTATGGGGTTATTGCATGTTTTGGGGTCCCTGTGTGTTTTATGAAACTGTATTATTTCTGGCCAGCAGATAATTGAGCTTTGTGTATTGTAGAAACTCAATTATCTAGCCTGGCCCAGAGGAGGAGTTTTGTGTTGCATAAATTGTGAGTTCTGTGTGCCAGTAAATCAGTCTTGTTCCAGCATTAAGCCTTGGCTCATGTTTGGGGGAAGGGATACCTACACTCTGGGGATTGCTATAATCACTTACTCCCCAGAGGAAGCTCTTGCAATAGCTTGATTTGTTCCTGTTCCTGCTCTCTGGGGAAAGAGAGGTTCACCCACTGAAGCTGGATCCTGGCCTTGGGTCCAGGGTGGGTGGAAACAGCAGAGACCCCGGCGCAGTTGCATCGCTGGAAGTGGGGTCTGCAGTGCTGATGGTGTCGGTTGGAGTGCTTGGAGTCCTCAGCGAGCACTAGGAGCATCGATTGGCGGAGGTACTCAGTCGGAGTGCCAGCGTTCCGTCACATTTGGTGGCAGCGGCGGGATGGCGTCCTAGTGCGAGGACCAGCAGCTCGGAGACACCGGTAACGTGTGGAGTTACGGATTTATAATTGAGGGCAACGCTAGCCTCTGCGCAGCATCCCTACCTACAGCAACATGGAGCTAGCAAGACCCTGGACAGCAGCCAGTGAATTGCAAATCCGCCTGTCACAGTGCTATGAGGGTGCTGATTTCATGAAGGAAGTAAAGGCGCGGCTGGTCTGGTTTGGCCCAAACCCTTCAGATGAGGTGGTCCATCAAGTGATGCGCCTGTTGAGTGCTGAGAACCAAGACGCACGGAACTACGAGTACCAACTGTGGAGTTTGGGGGTATTGACACCCCGTCTCCAGCGACAGAGTGAGTTACAGGGAGAGGAGAGCAGCGACCTCCCATCCCAGCGGCAGTGCACCGTACAGAGGGAAGAGACAACCGGTCTCTCTCCCCAGCGGCGGCCTGAGTTCCAGGAGGAGGTGATGGTAGATCCCTCCCCCGTACAGCAACCAGCGTCCTGGGGAGGGGAGGCAACCGGCCTCCCTCTCCAACAGCAGCCGGAGGTGGGCGACCTCATAGACTTGTCCTGGGGACACACAGAGATGGCAAGCGGAGATGGGACCGAAGTCTCTCTGCCGCCCTACAGGGATGCTGGGCAGTCAGCCCAGGTCCCCAGCGGCAGTATAATATACAGGGAGAGGAGACAACTGGTCTCTCTCCCCAGCGGCGGCCTGAGTTCCAGGAGGAGGTGATGGTCGATCCCTCCACCTTACAGCAACCAGCGTCCTGGGGAGTGGGGGCAACCAGCCTCCCCTCCAACAGCAGCCAGAGATACCGGGAGAGGGGGAAGACAAACCTAACCACACTGGCGCAGATGGGACCGCGGTCTCTGTGCCAGTCCTACAGGGAGGCTGGACGGGCGGTCCAGATCCCCAACCAACCCCGCAGGGATGCCAGGAGGAGGAGGTAAGCAAAACTTCCCCTCCCCAGCTACATCCCAACCGGGTCCTGGGGGCAGTGGATGAGCCTGCGATACCCACTGACCCCCTCCCAGCAGAAGAGCTGCCCTCTGGGCAGAGCTCTGTTAGCCTCTGCCCCCCCTTTTCCCCTGTATCAGAGCCTGACTTACCACGGGTTACCCCAGTGGAAGAGCTGGCAGCAGGGCAGAGCTGGCCTCTGCCCCCCAGCAACACCAGCAGTTTGCCTAGCTGCACCAGGGAGACCGAGAGTGCTGTGCTGTCCCACTACAAACTTGAACCTACAGGCCAGTACCATTTATTGTGGGGGGGTTACTCTGTGTATTTTTCTTTGTGGGTGGGCTGCCCGACTAATCTAGGTACTGACCGGCAGAAGGTCAGGTACCTGTTTAGTCTTCCCCCCAAGGGGAAGATGTGTGACGAAGTGCCCTTCGCCACTTGTGCCTGGAGAGGACTGCTTGCCCGCCTCTTGCCCTGTGACTATGGCCCCTGGTTTGTATTGCCCTTTAAAGACATGATTTGGGCATAATGGATTTGTGTTGTGCTGCTGCTGGCCCTTTAAGAACCATCTGGGGACATACTGTGGAGTTACTGGGTGGCCACCATTTCCTGTATCAGAAGCACATGGTGAGAACAATGGATGGCGGCCATTTTAACTCACAGACACTGTTTGGACTTTTCTACACGGTGCCATCTCGCCAGTATTTGGTGCACAGAGACATCGTGCAGTGGTTTTGGACTATACAGCAGGGGACACATTATAAAGTGATTGTTTTTTTATTTAGCCTGTATATGTTCTGCAGAATCTGCATTAAACTGTATTTTCCAAAGTACTGAACGGATCTGGGTGAATTTTGGATATGTGGTTCACCCAGATCCCCCGGTTCCAAGGAAAAACTTTTTATGGGGTTATTGCATGTTTTGGGGTCCCTGTGTGTTTTATGAAACTGTATTATTTCTGTCCAGCAGATAATTGAGCTTTGTGTATTGTAGAAACTCAATTATCTAGCCTGGCCCAGAGGAGGAGTTTTGTGTTGCATAAATTGTGAGTTCTGTGTGCCAGTAAATCAGTCTTGTTCCAGCATTAAGCCTTGGCTCATGTTTGGGGGAAGGGATACCTACACTATGGGGATTGCTATAATCACTTACTCCCCAGAGGAAGCTCTTGCAATAGCTTGATTTGTTCCTGTTCCTGCTCTCTGGGGAAAGAGAGGTTCACCCACTGGAAGCTGGATCCTGGCCTTGGGTCCAGGGTGGGTGGAAACAACAGAGACCCCGGCGCAGTTGCATCGCTGGAAGTGGGGTCTGCAGTGCTGATGGTGTCGGTTGGAGTGCTTGGAGTCCTCAGCGAGCGCTAGGAGCATCGATTGGCGGAGGTACTCAGTCGGAGTGCTAGCGTTCCGTCACACTTACTATGCCCTTTTACTGTAGAATTGCCCGAATCCTAATGACCCATTCCACTACATGGTGTGACTTGTTTAAGCCTAAGATAAATTGGCTGATCAGGCTACCTGTATTAACAATGTCATCAACGATGAGTTAGCATCTGTGGAGAAGTGTCACTTCAGGTTGTCCCAAATTTTCTTTTAACTTAGGTTTTAGTACATAATAAGGCCCATACCCAACGGCTACATGCAGCCTTGTATAGCAGGCCACATGACATCTATTTGTACCAAGCAAGGCCTGCCTAACTCCTCATTCCTGTCTAAAATTGTTGTCTCCTGCACAAGTGTACATGGCTCTCCTTGGAGTAGCCTGTTAACTAAGCCTTGCTTTGTGGTTACCTTCACCTGTCCAATTAATCTGCTAGGTGCAGATGTCCTTCCCCCACTTGCAGGCCCCTATCACCTTATTATTTCTTTTGTTCCACACAGTGAAACCTGACCAAGAGGCAATGGTCCTAGCTAGTTCCCCCAATACCTTTACCTGAATTATACAGGCCCCGAAGCCTGTCCAAGCTCTTACTATTCCCTAACAAGTTATGGCTCTGGTGTCGAATGGTGCCCTGGTTCCCTGAGACTTTCCATGCAATATCCCACCTCTCCTTGTGATGGACGAATTCTGTGCAGGATAGTGTCACCCTGCAGAGATGATACTCTATTTACCTGGCCACTCTTCTAATACACTGACTATTATTTTTTTTTAGCCTTTTCCTCATGATCTGTTCCGGATTTGCTGTCACTACAGTGGACCAAGTGTGACGAAGTGCCCTTTGCCACTTGTGCCTGGAGAGGACTGCTTGCCCGCCTCTTGCCCTGTGACTATGGACCCTGGGAGATTTGGCCCGTTCAATTCAGAGGGATAGGAGTTATGTATTTTTGTATCCTTTTGTGTTGTACTGGGAACATGTGCTCAATGGAGTCTGCTTCTATCCCTGGATAATTGGATTACTTTCCCCATTGTCTCCAGGCTAGAGGGCTCTGTAAAACCAGTTTGGGCCAGATAGCCATGCTGCCAGCCAGGCCCCAAAGGATACTTTACTAACTTCTTAACCCCTGGTCTGATTCATGCCATTTTTTGATATGTTGTTTCCCTGAATGGATTGATTGTAAATATATATTTTTTATGTAATGTATATTTTAGAAGTTATGAATATGCTGTTAAAACTGTATTATTTCTGGCCAGCAGATAATTGAGCTTTGTGTATTGTAGAAACTCAATTATCTAGCCTGGCCCAGAGGAGGAGTTTTGTGTTGCATAAATTGTGAGTTCTGTGTGCCAGTAAATCAGTCTTGTTCCAGCATTAAGCCTTGGCTCATGTTTGGGGGATTGGAGAAATACACTCTGGGGATTGCTATAATCACTATACTCCCCAAGGTATGATCACTAAGAGCTTGTTCCTGTTCCTGCTCTCTGGGGAAAGAGAGGTTCACCCACTGGAAGCTGGATCCTGGCCTTGGGTCCAGGGTGGGTGGAGACAGCAGAGACCCCGGCGCAGTTGTATCGCTGGAAGTGGGGTCTGCAGTGCTGATGGTGTCGGTTGGAGTGCTTGGAGTCCTCAGCGAGCACTAGGAGCATCGATTGGCGGAGGTACTCAGTTGGAGTGCCAGTGTTCCGTCACACCAAGTATCTCACCTCAACAATGTCTGTACAAGAAGCTGAGCTATAGGCTCCCATCACAGCATGCAAGATCTCTGAAGGAAGACTGAACTCGGAGGAAGCATGTGGCAACTCTCTGGCTGACCAAGTTGTTCAAGAAGTTGTAAGCGCACTAAGGGAAGTGGACAGAAAAGTGTCTGCTGAAGAAACTCCCATATTCACCATGTAAGATCCTACCCACAGACATCAAGCTCCCGAAGGAATAACAAGCAGCTACTGACCCTGGAAAGAAAACAACAACAAAAAAACCCACAAGCTGGAAACAGAAAGGGGCAACCCTTAAAGACAGGCTGTACTTCAACAATCTCAAGTTCTACTTGCCCAAGAACATATACTCAGCAGTGGTCCAGTGGGCCTACGGAGCATCTGTCCAGAACCCTCATGAACTCTTTTGATCAATAAATACTCTGAAGTATCAGGAATAGCCTCTCTGACCAACAGTTACTGTAAATCTTGTGCCATTTGTGCCAAGGGCAACTCAGGAAAAATGGAGGAAAGCCCCAAGCATCTAGTCAAACCTCATTATCTCTTCCAGAGGAGTCAAGTCGACTACATCCAGAATGCCAAAGAGTGGCTGATTCAAATATGCACTAATTATAGCAGACATGTTTTCAGGATGGCCAGAGGCCTATCCAGCCACCAAAGTGATAACCAAGACCACATGCTGAGTAGTGCACCGTGAAAGTTACAGAGATCACCCCGTGGATTCATCATTCCAGAATCAAGCCTGCCTCTGTATCATGTGAAGTAGCATTTGTTGATCTTGACAACCCTTTTTGAAACTCCATTCTTAGAGAACAAAGATACTTGTTGAAAAAATAAATAAATATCAACAAGTGGGTGTTTTGATGGCCATAATAATGCCTGACCACCTGCCATCGATGGAAAGCCGAATACCCCAAAAGGGGACCTCGTGAAACTAAAGAGAAACATACTCCTTACCATGCTGCCCTCACGTCTGAGGAGCCATACGCACAGTTAAAGCTTCTTCAGGATCATCTGCTTATTTTGAGTTTGTGGTTATATTAATATTGAATGTTTAAACGATCTGAATCTGCCAGTACTAGGGTAGCATGAGACAAGATTTCTAAGATTAAGAATAAGTAAATGTGCCCTAGCCAAGGTTATTATGTCCATACACATAACACATGACAATCCCCAAGGTACTCTTGACACACCACATGCTTGAGGACAAAAAGGAGTACGCCTATAAAGGGTGGTTTTATCCACACACATACATATATATATATATATATATATATATATATATATATATATATATATATATATATATATTAATGCCATAGGGGTATCAAGGGGGGTACCAAATGATTTTAAGGTAAGAAACTAAGTTTGAATCTATTCTCCCAAGCATTACGGCTAATAAAATCTGAATTGGAAGGGAAGAGGTTTATACAATAAACAGGAGACCTTTTTCTTACAGGACATGTATGACTCAGCTGAATGGGTAGGTGCCACACACATGACTGTTAATCCCCTCAAACCACACATTAGGACTTTAAAAGACATGGTAGTCATCCCATATTTGAGGATACTAGGGCTGTAGAGACAGGTCTCTCTGACACTAACTTGTGACTTGGATGAAATACAATGCTACTAAACATAACAAGTCTAAATCCTATGTCTGCGGAGGAGCGAGGCCTCACCCAGGTACTGTATCCCTGAACGTTCCTTCGGATATGAAGTATGCGTTTTAAGTCTCTACACTGTATTTAAACCTAAGCGGTCAGCATGCGAGTTATGGAAACTTAATACCCAATCATTACTAAAAAATATTAACCCAGACGAAGGCATTACTATATATCCAGGGAACTATACTTGTTATGGGATATATGGTGGGATAGGGCGGTTACAAACTACCTCTCAGATGACCTTCCAGAATAGAATAAGCTTGGAAATGATTTTGGCAGGGAAAGGGAGAGTATGTAAAATACTCCCAGACACCATAACATGCTGTACCTATATTCCAGATAATACAGGCCCTAATGGTAAGGTAATGTTGGCAATAGAAAAGTTAAAGAGTTTGTCCAATGAACTGAAAAGGAATTCTGGGGACACAGATCCATGGGAAAGATGGTTTGGATGGATGACTGGATGGCAAGGTGCTCTGGCCCAAATAGGTGTTGCCATTTTAATAACGGTAATCATCCTCGCTCTTCTTGTTTGTTGTGTGTTACCCTGTCTTAAGAAATGCCTACAAAAGACAGTTGATCAGATAATTGACCAGACCAAGAGATTGACGACATAGACCGTGATACACCACATACACCCTTACAGTCCCACCGCACTAAATCAACAGCTACTTCCTCTTAAGGACATTCAGGGATAGCGTCTGTCTCTACGGGCAGAAGTCTGTCGCGGGAAGAAGTTGTGGACAAGCTGCTACGGGTTACCCACGCAGTGAAGTGTTCGAGGCCAGTTCAGACAGATGTGCAAGATAGCCTTTTTATTATTTTTCTATAGGGACAGTATTAGAGTGAGAGATAGTAGTTTCTAGTAAAATTGCCATTTTAAAGGGGGACTGTTATGGACAGATGAATTTAAATAAAATGGCTATTTACTAATGTCTATTTATTCTGTGTTCACTATGTTAAAACTGGCTGCTAGAGTAAATATTCCCTCCCCCCCTACAATGTGTTCAGTTGCTATTTCCTCTGTAAATTCCTCATCCTGCTAGCATCCCCCTTCCCATCAGAGCAAGCCTCGTGTAACCAAAATTCCTGTGTTAACAGCTTCCTTTACTAACTCCTCCCCCACTTCCTTTGTGCCAGTTAACAGCTATATGCCACGTGTAACAAAATGGAGAATCACTGTTAAAGTAACTGAAAGAAACTACTCACTCCCCCTGTCATCGTGTATCCAGGAGCTGGAATATAGGCGGGAGAAGTCTGTAATGACGACACTACATCCTGTAGGGGGGGTTTAGACAAGACCCCTTAGACTGTTAACCAATTGTTGAATGTATACTGTATGTTTAAACTGTGACGTATTTTTGCTTTAAGAAGGAGCCCCCACTCCGGGGAATAAAGCATTCCTTGGTTTTTCACTGATCAGAAACTTTGTCTCCGGTGTGAATTACTTCTAGGGAAATCCTGCACGCATTAATCAATCAATTTGGAAGGTGTAGATAGACAAATTATCAAAGTTTTCTTTGATCCAAATCATTATCTGCTACATCCAATTGGAAAACCCCAGCAAATTTGTACTGGATCTGTGGTAAGAAGGCATATTCAGAGTTACCACAAGACTGGGAAGGGGCATGTGTACTAGATATGCTCAAACCATCCTTCTTCTTGTTGCCAATTGAGACAGGAGAGACCTTGGGAGTTAAGGTTTATGATGTGAATCATAAAAAGAAGCGAGCATCCTTGAATATAGGTAGTTGGGAAGATGAGTGGCCTCCCCAACGTATCATAAATTACTATGGACCTGCTACTTGGGCAGAAGATGGTACTTATGGATATAGAACCCCAATATTAACTGTAGAGCTAATCTATTTTGATAGATGGCTGATCTCATCCGAGTATTTTGCTTAGCTAGAAGATAGACATAGAAACATAGAAACATAGAATGTGACGGCAGATAAGAACCATTCGGCCCATCTAGTCTGCCCGATTTTCTAAATACTTTCATTAGTCCCTAGCCCTATCTTATAGTTAGGATTATAGCAGTTCCTTCCAATAACGAGACAAGGCTACGTATTGAGGGTCAAGAAGATCTGTATTACTTGGCACCAAAGGGCCTTCTTTTATGCAGGTTTTCCCTACATAGGACCACCCACAGGGTTTTTCAGAACAACCAATAAACACATTACAACATATACAATGCAGGTACAGCAGCCAATCAGACAAAATGGGACAATAGAAACACACCCATCATATTCCTCCCCTCTGCTTAGGGGATAATTGAGTCAATTACTGTAGCTTCTCAATTATCTCCAAGCTGAAAAGTTACACTTTTTATACATTTTTATAACTTTGTGAGTTTACATCGTACATACATAAAACTAATATTATTTTAACCAGTATAACTTGGGGACAAACATATCCAAGATTCACTTGATTAGGTTCAGGGGTTTAAAAGTTAGGTCAAAGTCCTTTGTTTTCACTTGCAAGCATGTTTTTTCCTGCCCAAAGAAGTTCCCATTGGTCTGGCAGTGTCCCTGGGACAACTCCCTGCTGGAGAACAATGGAGCTGGGGGAGGGGAAGAGGCACACCTTCCCATGAATTCAAAGGGGCAGAAAAAGTGTCTCAAAAGTTTCAGTATGTAAGGGTAAAAGTTTCAGTATGTATATAAGGGCCAGCACCGTACAATAAAAGTCCATATGCCCAAATGCTGGTTTAAACACATACAATCTCCCAGGGGCCATAGTCGCAGGGCAGGAGGCTGGCAAGCAGGCCTCTCCAGGACCAAGTGGTGGAGGGCACTTCATCACAGGTTATATGGAGTAATAGGAGGGGTTATAGTGAGGGTTATATGGAGTAATAGGAGGAGTTATAGGGAGGGTTATGTGGAGTAATAGGATGAGTTATAGTGATGGTTATATGGAGTAATAGGAGGAGTTATAGGGGTAATAGGATGAGTTATATAGATGTTATATGGAGTAATAGGAGGAGTAATAGGAAGGGTTATATGGAGTAATATGAGGAGTTATAGGGAGGGATATATGGAGTAATAGGAGGAGTTATATGGAGTAATAGGAGTTATAGGAAGGGTTATATGGAGTAATAGGAGGTTTATATGGAGTAATAGGAGGGGTTATAGGGAGGGTTATATGGAGTAATATGAGGAGTTATAGGAAGGGTTATATGGAGTTATAGGGAGGGTTATATGGAGTAATAGGAGAGGTTATAGAGAGTGTTATATGGAGTAATAGGAGGAGTTATAGGGAGTAATAGGAGGGCTATAGGGAGGGTTATATGGAGTAATATGAGGAGTTATAGGAAGGGTTATATGGAGTAATAGGAGGAGTTATAGTGAGGGTTATTGTGGCGAAACCGACCTCGCCACTGGGCATTGGAGAAGACTGATTGCCCGCCTCCTGCCATGTGACTATGGCCCCTGGGATGTATTGCCCTTTAAAGACATGATTTGGGGATAATGGATTTGTGTTGTGCTGCTGCTTGCCCTTTAAGAACCATCTGGGGACATGCTGTGGAGTTACTGGGTGGCCACCATTTCATGTATCAGAGGCACATGGTGAGAACAATGGATGAAGCACATGGTGAGAACAATGGATGGCGGCCATTTTAACTCACAGAGACTGTGTGGACTTTTCTACACGGTGCCACCTCTCTGGTATTTGGTGCACAGAGACATCGTGCAGTGGTTTTGGACTTTACAACAGGGGACACATTATACAGTAATTGTTTTTCATATAGCCTGTATATGTTCTGTGGAATCTGTATTAAACTGTATCTTCTAAACTACTGAATGGATCTGGGTGAATTTTGGATATGTGGCTCACCCAGATCCCCCGGTTCCATGGATATATATTTTTATGGGGTTATTGCATGTTTTGGGGTCCCTGTGATGTGTTTTATGATACTGTATTTCTCTGCCTGTCATAATTATATTACCCATTGTGTTCAGTAATCATATCACAGGCAGAGGGGAGGATTTTGTGTGGGAGTGTCTGTGTGTATTGTACAGATTGGTTGTATTTCAAAACCCTGTGGGCAGTACTATGTGTGTGGATTGTGAATAAAAGAGGCTGTATGTGCCAGTACAGTCAGTTCTGCTTGATCCTCAAAACGAAGTGTCGTCTAGTTACTGGGGGAATCTGCTACAAGGGATCGCTATGCTAGTCATACTCCCTTGCTATATCTCTACTAAGCTCTTGTAAGAGCTTGTTCCTGTCTTGCTCTCTTTAATAATGACAGGAGGCGAGTATTTTGCATAACTTTCTTTACTCTATGCCTCCAGCAGCACAAGTCAATTAAAAAAACTT